GAAAAAACTTCCAACCGTAATTCCAAACGCACTCTTAGACCTACTAGTATAAAAGAAGACTAGTTTTATGCATTAAACTTAATCTTTTAAATGTATTAATTAAGTTAAGAGAAAAAAATTACAACGTTTAATAATAATTATATTATAAATTTAATAAATTTAAAATTTATATTATATTTCATATGTTTAATAATTATAATTAGACATCTTTATATTTTAAATGTGAAACTATCTTCCTTTTTTTTTTTCTTTCTTTAAGTTAATGTATACTCTTCCTTTTAAAATTGCTCTCCTAAAAGCAATTATTCTTTCAAAAGGTTAAACCCTTATTTTAGTCCCTCAATTATTGTATGGATCCTTGATTGACATTCTCAACTCAAAAAATCTTTGATTTGGTCCCTACCATTTCCCATTTTGGCTCAAAGTTAGTCCTTTCATTAAATTTTTGTTGACATGGCATGGTAGCTAATGGTAGAAGCATGTCTTTTCAATAAATAAAATATGTGGAATTTACAACATGGCAAAATACATGATCTAGCAAAAAAATTATCTAACTAATCCCTAAACATAAAAAAATGACCATAGTACTCTTATCTTCAATCTCTAAATCATTTCATTTTCTCTCTCCCTTCCCTAACACTAGATCTGGGTTTAATGAACCCAAACAAATCTAACCCTTACTTTAACCTCTAAATCCTTTCATTTTCTCTCTCCTTTCCCTAAAACTAGATCTAGGTTCAATGAACCCAAACAAATTTAAATGATGTTGCATTCGATTGAACCCAACACACTTGGGTTCCTTTGAAACCTAGCAAGCACTTTTGGGTTTGATTGAACTCTATAGGAGCTAGGTTCTTTCATACCTAGGGGCAAAAAATAAAAAAGATTTTCTTCTTTTTTTTTTTTTTTTGTAAGTTTTGTTGTTGGATGATGATGAAGAATTGATTGATAAAGAAGAGGAAGAAGAAATGGAAAGAGGAGAAGAAAGGATAATTTTTTAAGTTTTATTATCATATCATTATTTTTCGCCACGTTATCTTTCCACATATATTTAATATTTTGATATATCATCATGCTTCTATTAGTTAACGGAACACATCACTGAATTTTTAATCGAAGAACCAACTTGGGTCAAAATGGGAAACAATAGGGATCAAATCAGATATTTTTTGAGCTGAGAGACTCAATTGGTGCTCTATATAATACTTAAGGGACCAAAATGGGGTTCAACCTTTTTCAAAACACGCAAGCTAAACAGGACAGTCAAATAGTCCACAAAAATTTATAGCGTGGGGCATGGAAATTGGTGCGGACAGCTTGTTATTCATTTACTGATATTACTATATTAGTAGAACAACGGGGCAAGCGTAGTGCCTCACAAAATATTATTAAAGTCATATAAATTTTATTAATATTATGTTTAAATATATTAATAATTAATAAGTAGTTAATAATATTTTTACTTATCAGTTTATATGTTGGTATTTTTTAATATACCAACTAACTATTTAAAAGAAAATGCGAAAAATCTGCAGTATATTTTGAATCATGATTGTGTAAAGAAAATGTGACATGTGAATATGTGATGGTATAGAATTGAAATTCTGCTTTTTCAGTTCAGAGAGTCCTCGTCTACCTCTAAGAACTATGATTTGTTTGATTATTTTAGAATGAAAACTATATATCCTCTTATGTCTCTATATATATATATATATATATATATTTTTTAATTTAGATTAAATTATTAATTATTAATTTTTAAATAAATTTTATAAAATTTTATAATTTAATAATTAATTAATATTTTATAATTTATATTGTCAAATACTTCTTTTGGTTGTACCTGACCCTTTGGAGGTGCAGTTCCTCCTCTTTTTGGTGGGTTCGAAGTTTAAATCCTATCCTTATCACTTTGTTAAAAAAAAATATATTTCTTTTGGTTAATATATCCCATAAACAAGAGAAAACAAAATAACCCAAAGAGAGAATTAAAAAGAGTTTGAATTTCCAATTTTATATGCAATGGATTCATTGTATTAAAAAGAGTTTGAATATATGATATTTTCCACAGTTAAGAAGACTACGCGGCCTTCTTTGGCACCCGAGCAAATTGACATCGAAGAAATCAATTTAAAATATGCAGAAAATAAGCAGCAGAACGTGCAGAGACCATTTGGGAAGAAAATGTTAAGCTTGGATGTTGTACGGCTTTAGATATAAACATAATAATAATTGAATTTGAATTGCAAGTTCAAGGTCAAAGGCCAAATTCTGGGGTTGCAGTTGGAAATTGAAATTTTCACTCAGCATAAGAGAAAAAAGAGGTTAGTAATGCATTAATATTAAAAAAATAATAATTTAAGTTATATTAAATTATAAAACACCACCTATTAAATAAAAAAGTATTAATATTATATACTCAGAGAAGTTTAGGTTGTACTATTGACCACAATGTCATGGTTATCAAAGTCTTTATTGCTTACATGGAAGTGGAAGACTCATCAAAACTAATTAAGTTCATGAAATTTCCTTTAGACTCAAAAATATTAAAAAAAAAAGAAGAAGTAAAGAATATATTTGTGGTTTAGTTTAGTTGTCAACTCTCTATTGTAAAAAAACTTTTCAGGTAAAATTTGACAGATGTGAGATCCAAATCTTACTCTCAATATTAAAAAAAAAAAAGAAGAAGGAGAAAAAAAGAAGAAGTAAAGAATATATTTGTGGTTTAGTTTAGTGGTCAACTCTCAATTGTAAAAAAACTTTTCAGGTAAAATTTGACAGATATGAGATTCGAATTTTACTCTCAATATTAAAAAAGAAAAAGAAGAAGAAGAAGAAGTCTCTATTATAAAAAGACTTTTCAAGAAGAAGAAGAAGAAGAAGAAGAAGAAGAAGTCTCTATTGTAAAAAGACTTTTCAAGTAAAATTTGACAGATATGAGATTCGAATCTTACTCTCAATATTATTGAAGAAGAAGAAGAATATATTTGTGGTTTAGTTTAGTGGTCAACTCTCTATTGTAAAAAGACTTTTCAGGTAAAATTTGACAGATGTGAGATTCGAATTTTATTCTCAATATTATTGAAGAAGAAGAAGAAGAAGTCAAAATCCGAATTATAGGTTTTTTGAGAGATAACAAGCTCATCATCTCAAAAACCGGTCAAAAATTGAATTATAGGTTTTTCAAGAGATAACAAGCTCATCATCTCAAAAACCGAATTTTAAGTGTTATAGGTTTTTCGAGAGATAACAAGCTCATCATCCCCCTTCGAGCTTAGTTTAATGTCACAAATACTGGGTACAAATATACATGGGCTAATTTTTCACTAATCACTCGTTAAATACAGTTTGATTTTCTTAAGTAGTAAAATATACAATCCGAAAGATGATGTCATACATATCGTAAAATTGAGGGGAAGATTTATAAATATTTTTTCAATTAGCTATGGATTTAAAAGGTAAAATATTCAAATTTACTTTTAAAATATCCAAATTTACTTTTAAAATATAGTGGTAGGATAAATTCACTCTAAATAAAAAAATAAGAACGAATCCATTCATAAAGTTTTTAATTTTAATAAATTACTTTAAATTTAATATATGATATCATTTGATATCAATAATTTATTAATTTGTTATGTTGCTAATAAATTTATTATTGACAAATTATTGACATTAAATAATATCACATATTAAATTTAAGATAATTTATCCAAATAAAAAATTTTATAAATAAATTTATCTCATTTTTTTTGCTCAGAGTTGATTTACCCCTCTACTCTACAACTATACCGTGGGAGTAGATCTAGATATTTTACCGATTTCAAACTGTGGAAGTAGATCTAGATATTTTGCCGATTTCAAACTCCACTGACAACGAATTTTTCTCAAATTAAAAACATTGAATGAATATAGCCAAAAGAGTAATTATATTCCAACCTTACCAGCATTAACAATAATTAACTGCTAAATTAGGGGGAAAAAAAATAAAGAGAATTGAAGACTTGATGAGATGATGAATCAATTGATTTTCAACTAGGCAAGAAGCAGTCAACAAAGAACGACCATGGTGGCAGGGGACAAGCAACAGAATGGTGGGTCCTTCACCAATTTCCCCATACAACATGTCCAGCACTCAAAGTCTCCACAGCAATAGAAGGTACTAAAATAATATTCAAAGTCTTCTTCTTTGTTATTTTGAGCCTTTGCTTTTGACATTTCTGGCTCCATTGTGAAACTGCAACAGATTCCTTCTGCATAATGAAGTTGAACACGACAGCATCACCCAATACGTACATTACTGCCCACAGATTTTCTTTTTCTTGAAACATGGAACAACGACTGGCTCAACTGAGCTGTATTCATGATTCTTTACCGGATGTTGCTGGTCCTTGTTTTCACTGCATGCGTCATGCCTGTTGAATGCTTAATCTGGGGTTTAATACAGATTAGTTGGCACTAAGATGCTTATTTGTTTAATCCTTAATTAGAAATTACCCCGTGCCGGCTGGGATTTGATGTATTAGAAATGCTATCATATGTAGGATTCACTCCGGACAACAACTTAATCAGCAAATGGATTAAAAAGCAAATTGCCTCAAACAGGCAGCTCAATTTGGTTTAAGAGTTTTGAGACTCTAATTTAAAATTTTTAAATTCAAATATTGAGTCAGATAATGAAAATTTTAAAAAATAAAAAATATTTATTTGTATAACCTATTATTATATATATAAATAAAGAATAAAAAAAATTGCTTTAGGAAGCTCCAAAACCTATGTGCCTTTAGGCAGTGCTTAAAGAAATGCAAACCTAGTAAAGCATTTTTTAAAGTTGTTTAACACGGAATGATGCGGAGGAAGTTGATAAATTTCATAATATGCAAAAGTCTTCCCAAGGGAAGCTTCTACTTTTTAACCGTATAAAACACTTTTCCAAAGGCTTAAAAGGTGCTTTTCATGAAATATCCAATGTAGCATAATTTCTGTTTCTGCAGTAGTGAATTCTGTCATTCTGTTTATGAATTGTGCAATCAAGAGAGTTCAACTTGTACCGGATAAACAAAGAAAGAGTTAGGCAAACTGGAAACTATGCATAAATTCACTACAATTTACAATGATTACGTAACATTCAGTTGGAAAAAAGTGTAGATCACTAAGCATGTTCACTGTATCTGTATGGGACTAGGAAAGAATAAGCTTATAAAAGCATCAATGAACTAACTGGGACCATTGGGTATAAATTAGTGTTGTCATTTACAAACATTGAACTGTCAATTTATGGCGTATTTTTCACCAAATGCTGTAAAGATATAATGCACCGTAGGGGGCTTATGCCTTTATCAGTGAGGAAAAAGAATGAGATGCAACGCATTTTCCACACGGTATGCCCTCAAAGACTCATTTTGGTTTACACTGTTGAAAGAAGCTGGCCCCAACTCATCTTTTTTGAAGCTGAAGAGGGACTTAAAAGATAGTATTTTGCCTTTAATCACAATCATGGTCCCCCTATGCCATCTTGGTGTGTTGTTTAACTATCAAAATCAGTTCTGTACCTTTACAAGAAGACTACTATTGAGAATTTAGCGGGATTGATGGTAATCCTTTAGCGTGTTGGCTCTCCATTTCAAGAAGCATCAAGGACTTTTGTCTTTGATATCTGTTTCTCTTTGCGGCAAGTGCTGCAAATTGTCATAATACGAGATCAAAATCAGAGTGAGACAGGAGCAAGGAAAGAGCATAATTACCAAGAGGCTGTTAACAGAAAAGTATCTAAATATATAAAGAAAATATCTGAACATCAACTGAAAAGAACAGCTTTGATTATTTCAAATGGCTAAAGTAACAGGTTACAACTTCAAAACAAAATGAGTTATCAAAAACAGCTACCAGTACAGTTACCAATTTTGGCATTCATGAAAAGACACCATGTCAAGTATCAATAAGAGTTCTATGGATGGCCTGGATATTATGGCAAAACAATTCCAAACCATAGGATCAGAGTAAATACAAATTTTTACAGGATAGCAGAACATGAATCTGATCAATCATGCACATTCTGTGAAACTGTCAAGTAGAATTATACAGCAGAAGCAGCCTTTTCCAACCACGTTCTAGTTCCTGGGTTCTAGCCCAGGCAATGACTTTCATTCCCCTCCCCCTCCTCCATTGTAGTATATAGTATGTACTAACTGCCCTCTTTCAAAAGGGAGGAAAAAAAAAAAAAAAGGCAGCCATCTATTCTCTATTCCAATTTTGTCTCTTAATGGATTCCCATCTCAAGATTGGAAGAAGTTTTAGATTCACATTTTCAAGTGATTAGTAAGGATAAATCTTCTTAGACAGGAAGTTCAGGACCAGATGTTAAGGAAAATCAAGTTGATGACTTCAATTTTGGATTCCTGTAATCAAGCCATCTGCTATAGAAGTGTTCTCGTGTGTGCTGTATGGGAGACATATATATTTCAAAACTGAGACAAAAGCAAATGAAAGGCAAGCAATTGACTTGAACTTCTCCATACTATACTTACACATTAAATCTTGAGGTAGACCAAAGTCATAATCATTTCTATGCCTCCTGATGCAGATTATAGATACAACCAGCACCACGACACCAACAAAGAACAGGCATGATAGAGTTATTGCAATTTTACCACCCTTCGATAAGTGGCCATTTTCCCAAAATAGAGGACAATCTGGCAAAGAAGGTACGCCACACAGACCTTTGTTACCTGAGAGACTGCAAGGAGGTTAAAAAAAGGAACTAAGTGGCTAAGAAAATCATGCAGAAAAGAGATTTCCAGAAAACTTTAAATTGGAAACATATGATCAATGATTTGGCTGGCACAAGATGTAAATGGTTTAGTCATGCCACCAAATGTAACACACCGAAAAGTTATGTAGTAGACTAATGACCATAAATAACACCCGTGACTTGTCAGGAATTTCACCTTTTTTACTGCATTAAAAAGGGCTCTTCAATGAAGAATGAACCATGATGTGTATTTTCTTCTGGGAACTTTTTGTAGAACTTCATAATCACAAATGAACAAATTTCAAAACACTATTCTACACTATAAGAAGAATAATTATTGTTAAGAAGGCTAATTTTGATGGTTCCGAGTAGATATAATATGCCTAAGATTTTCACTTAAACAGGCCAACACTTGGAGATGTAATAAAAAGTTTAGTGAAAGAAACCAGGTCATAAACATAAATTACGAAATAAAGTGCATGCTTCCTTATTAGTTTGGAGGTAGGTTAGGAATCTAAACAATTGATTTATAATAAATCTTTTTTTTTTTTTTTTTT